ATCGCACAAAAAAAAACAAATAGCAACTAAAAGATGCTAAGACCACAGACACCGATTTTTCAAGTGTTACCTCAAGAAAACAGCAATATTTTTGCGACAGTTTCTTCACAGTGAATGGAATGATCTAATAGCGAAAAACAATAAGCGAAATTGCGTCAAATAAACTGAAGAAGATCATGAAATTCTAATGGCATAGTAACTTTGCAGTGGCCGTTTTCCTTTTCCGCTTTGCATTTTTCTGTACTTAAAAAAGTGTTCATTACTTGAAAAATGAGTTGCGATAGAACATTCTTGAATATATACAGATAACAAGAGCTTTTGACATGAATTCTAGATCGGTATTTTCGATCTTTCGTAAATATATTTTAGTCGATGAGAAATGAACACATTTGTATTTGTCCAAGAAGTTTTGCAAGAGTCGTTAGGAGCAAATAATGAAAAAATAAGAAATGAGAAAAGAAGACAAATTCATTTAAACTTTTTGTATTGTTCATAGTAAAAATAGTGTACAAAACCGAAAAGTTTAGGACTAAATTAAACAAGATGGATGCTTATATCTATTAATTGGTTCTTGATTAGTACATTCTATTATAAATGTGGGTGTGGGTGGGTATGGGTATGGGTGGGTGGGGTGTGGGTGTGGGTGTGGGTCTTGCTTACTACACCCTCACCCACACCCATCCACCCCACCCACACCCTTTCACCATCTTGCCATCGCACTATAGACAGTAAGTGTAGATGTGAGTGTGGATGCTTCGATGAAGAGAAGATCCACACTCACATCCTTCTTGAAAACTCGACAAGAGTTTTGAAAACAATGATGAATTTACAAAATGAATTGCCTAGATGTCTGACACTCTCTAGCTCTTTATTTTTATACTAATGATGAACAAAATGGAGAATCACTGGTCGACTATGTCGGTTGAATCTGTTATCGATTTTTCTCAATTCAACACACGACAGAATCGATCGCTCTATTGAATTGTAGAAATGGCTACTTTCTGCATTGTTTCAAAGATTTGACAGTGAGCTGCTCAGTATTCGACTTCAAAATATTACTGAAGAAAGACTCGTGCCCGTTTTTTTTTATTCAGTCTCGTAATGAAATCAAGAACTATTTTCTAGAATTCTGTCGGAATTTTTTCAATGATAAACTTTGAGAACACTTTTTTACCGATAATTTGACAAAACATTTCTGGACTTCATCCATTAATTAATTCTCATTTGCATTATTTATCAACGAAAAACGAACAAAAAGAAGTTTGTATACGACTACGAATTACATTTGAGAATTTGTCATTTTTAAGTGACTCTTTGATCGTTGTGTTTCTAAAATTTGTGAATATTGCTCAAGAAATGATAGAACGCCGTAGGTATATCTCGTATAACTCTTTGGTATTCAAACAATTTAATAATTTATAGCATAATTTCGTGACATAGATTGAATAACCGATGAAAAAAATTATCCTTAACATGACGAAAACTACGCAAATTAATCAATTGTGATCAATCTTTGAGAGATGAAGCTCATTCTTAATATTTTTCTTTTTGAATTTTTGTAGCAAAGCAAAATGAATTCCATTGATAGTAAAAATTTGCTAGAGTGCGAAATCTTGAGAATAATTCATTCATTTTAAAAGACCTAACATTGTTGATCTGTTCAAATTATATTTAATGCCAGACGATTAGATCTTTCAAGATAATAATTTATAATAACAGTAACAGATAGATCAAGAGAATAAGTTCAAAGACGAACTTTCAACGAAAGAAAAGACAAAAAAAAAATCTCAAAAACGAAGTAATAAACAACAAGAAACTTATAAAGAAAAATGTTTGTTTAGGCAGTTCAAAATGTGGTATGCACATTATTTGACAATTTAGTTCTATCCAATAGGTTGTTTTGACTGAAATGAGAAGAGAAAATATGGAAAAAAAAAGAACACACATGAAGTTATTTGATGCTATTGATAAATTCATATTTAACACTTTTTCGTAATTTTAAATGTAACTGCTTTTTTTCTTTCAGGAAAACCTTTCTCAGGTCCGAATTGAAAGTACTTTAACAATCATCCTTCATCGTTTTAATGGTTGAAAATAATCTATCAGATATTGAAGATTATTAAGGGGGCCCTCTCCCTTCCGATGTTTCTCGACAACAGTTAAGCGAAAATTTTTGAAATGATTTCGATGAGTAATATAAAAGCTGTCATAGACTCAGAATTCCCAAGTACTTTCTTCAGAAAGATTTTGGGAGGTCAAGGGTCAAAAATGACCTAAACTTTGTCCCCCGGCAAATGGCCATACTACGTTCTTTTGGACTGAAATTTTTTCTACGACAACTAGAAACAAATCTGGGTGCGTGTTGTTTTTTCTTTGAAAAATATTGTTTCAAAGGTTCAGAAGAAGCAAAACACTAGAGGCGCTATCAAAAAATCATTAAAAAAAGCGTTTTTCGAGTGGTACTAATTTTGTGAAACCTGTCAAACTTCATAAGTACAATATTTTTAAGAACAGAAAAAAAGTATCCCGATTTGATCGAAGTACTCATAAAAAAATGTTTGAGTCCAATCGATCGTGCTGTTTAGGAGAAAAGGAGGAAAAACTTCAATTTTCGTTTAAAAATCTAGATTCGAAAAAAACGCAAAGAAATTTGCATTTTTTGTCGCTTTTTTAGCATAAAATTGGCTGATAGTTTTGCCTTTTTAAAATGTGCTCATTAGATAGAGAGCATTTAAATCCACATATCAAACACAAAAAATTAAAAATTTTGAGTCGGGAAAGGAGGGAGTCTCCTTCAATCGATTATATAGTCATTTGATGAAAGACGAATTAAGTTCATTGAAGAACAAAAATTATTAATGCTTCATCATATGTGGAGGATGTAAATACAACAATAGGAGTGTTTCGAATGTGTTCCTATAAATGGTTCAGGTTCACAAACGTTTTTTTTTAATATTGCAAACAATGAGAATTTCGTATTAAACTCACTTTGTTTTTAATATTAAATTGAACATTAATGTCAGTACAATAACCATGACTCAAACAATCTTCATCATATGAAATGGTAGCATTTCGTTCGAACCAAAATGATGTTACTTGACATATTTGTTTAAAATCATCTATTGCATGACCAAAATTATCATAAAAAATATATCCAGTACATATTAATTGAAAATTTATCAATTTTGTACAGTATATAGATAGTAAAGATTCCCATTTCTTAGCATGAAGTAAAGGATACCAACCCCATATAAATAATTTTTTTAAATTCGGTGTTTGCTTTAATAAATATTCGACATGTTCAAATTTTATATCATCGGATAATTTTACATGCAAACGAATACATCTAGGTAACAATGGCATGATAATTATCATTGACTGGTGTTGTTCATTAGACATACCATCATTAAATAACAGATTATCCGTATAAAATGATTTAACATTTTGTAGAGCAGGAAGTAATTTAATTAAATCATTAAAAGTCAATAGATCGATCGATACATGTTGAATATTTGTTGTTTTAGTTGTTGTAATTATCGATGTAATTTCGGATGTGTCTTGTTGCGTACCACAAGTACTAATGATGAAAGATTTTAATGATGGACAATAATCTTTATTAAATATCGAATGAATAATATATTTCTTTTCCTGAACACAATTATTAACTTGCGAAATACCACAAAAAATAATTTCTAATGATTGTAGATATTTCAAAGATGAAAGTTGACTGCAGAATATAAACAAATTATCATTAAAAGAATACATAGACTTTAAAGATAATAAACGAAGATAAATTAATGAATCAAGAGAAAAATTCGAGAAAAAATGTTGTATTTCATTGGAATTTGTAAACTTTAATGATCGAACATTAATAGCCTTCATTGACAATAAAATATTTTTCATAAAATAATCATAAGTACCTTGCTTTGTAAAATTTAAATATAACACTGTTCGATCAATAATTGCATCAATTTTTCTATTCAAATCACGAAATGAATACCATAAATCATTTGCATTGAAATATTCAAAGATTTCTCGCCAAAGTTCTACAGATAATAGCTCAATTGTACTGTGAAATTTATCACCTGACATAATCGATCTAAAACACAAATTTAAAAAAAAAAGAATAATACGTTTATCATAATTTTTGTTTTTGAAAATAACTCTATATTAGCAAGATACAGATACGTGTCAGTTTATTATTCAAGACATGACATACCTACACACGTGTATATATGTACAGGGAGAGAAGAAAAGAAAGAGATAGAGGAGATAATGATGATATATCGAACAAAAGTAGACGAGTGATCAATACATAGAACTACTAGTAAGAAGTGATGACTGTTAGCGGTTGTCCTTTTGGATCAACGCTAAGTTCGTTCTTTTTCTTTTACAAAAAAATTATATATATGTGTGTGTGTGTATGTACATGTGCACACAAGTTTTTATTATCTATTTCAAATGATGGAAAACACGTACATATATAGTGAGCAAGAGAAAGAAGAGAAAAAAGAAAGAGAACAGAGACTAGATATATGGATAACAAGGAAAAGACTAAATATGTATCACTGAGAAAGAAATAGAAAAAAGAAATAAAAAATAAAATAAATGTTTGAAAATAGATGACGAGTTGTATCAGTGCGACATCACTGTAACATACTCCCCTATTGAAGAAAAAAATGTGTCCAATCAACATTTTTATATAAATAATAAACAAAGGTATAGATAGAAATGGGTAATTTCACAACAAGAAAAAAAATAAACGTTTCATGATAGATGTAAGCAACAAGATAGTTCACAACAAATAACAAGCGGAAAATCAAATATGACGTGAAAAAAAACATTTTATTTTCTGGTATAAAATGAAAATATCAGACAGTTTTTGATACAATGTATCTGAGTATGTTAAACAAAATGAAAATAAAATTTAAAAAAATTTTCGTTTTATGAAAGACATGTTTTAGTTCGTGATGGAGTCACGCATCAAGTACATGGCCGTCAATCGGTTGTTGTTTTTTTCCTTTGTTTATTTATTTGTTATTCCATTTGTTAACTGTCAATGTTGATTATCCAGTATAAATAAATAAACAATAATTAAATTGATATTTTGTTTTATTTAGTTAAAATTGTATTAATCGTAATTGTGACTATGATTAGGACGTCGATGATAAGATGTTATTGTTTATTTTTCTCGTCGAAATGCTTCGTAATGATTTCTAGTAAATAAACCTTCTGTTTGAATTTTATATGATGATAATTTAGATGGATCACGTATTCCAATATATAATTTGCGTTTGTTTGTAGTTGATGAGATGGAAATGTTGACGGCGAAGAATGAGATATTCTTGAGTTTGAGAATATCTTTGATTTCTCTTATTTTAAATCTTTTGTCAATATTCTTGATGATGATTTCATGTTGATAATATCGACGACGTTGCTTAATCGTGCAACTTCTATTGTGGATTTTCTTTTTTTCTTCTTGAGATAATTGTTTATGTTCAGGTTCATTTGTTGATGTATTAATTGATGGTAAAGGTGATTCTTGATTATTTATTTGATCATTATCATCGGTTGTTATTTCAAGTTCATAATTTGTTGGTGTAATTGATGAAGTAGTATTATCTGGATCTTGTTCGTTGATAATATTGGTATTGATAATTAATTGATATATAGCATCACAATCATTTGCTGCATAATTACATAATGATTGTCTATATTCCATTTGTTTATCATTTAAATGTTGTAAACTTGGATCAAGTCCGATATCAAATGGTTGACGTGTAAGTCGTTTATCAATCCATCGGTGCAATTCAAAAGCTACAGCATCTTATAAAGCTAATAAATTGTCATGTAAAATACCAAAACAGGTCATGCATTTGCATGTTGATGTACCATTTGATGATGATGCTGATTGATGAAGATAAGTATCAGACCAATAATTTTTAAATTTTGTTTGTACATTAATATTTCTAGATAAGTAAATTTGATTTGATGTAAATAATTGATATCTAGTAAATTTAATTAATTCATCGATCTCTCCCCAAATGTATATTTTTTTATCAGGTTGAAATAATAAATCAAATAAAATTTTAATTAATGTAAATGGTGGTTGATCAGGAGAGGGTAAATGACATACTTCCACAATTAATATGATTGAAGAATATTCAGATTGTATGATTTGAATTTGTATAAGACTTGATTTATTTGGTTGATGTAGAATGGAAGTAGATTCGGTATCAAGAGTAAATAATTTTGAATTAGTAATAATATTGTTTACTTTTATTAATGTACGTTCTGTTGTTGTACGATTTATAAAGACTAATTCATAAGGAGATGGTTCGAATGATGGAGGGTGGGTGTGAGTGTGGGTGTGGGTGTCAGTGCTGAGAAGAGGTACACCCATATCTCACATTCATACCCACACCCACACCCACCCACCCACACCCACACCTACACCCACACCCTTATGAGGAATAGGAATCTATAGTCTATCATATGGATCAGAAATTTATATTTTTTTTTGTAAAGCGAGGGGGAGAAAAAATGTGTCAAAATCATTCTTCTTGTATATATGTCATGATATTATGGTACGAAATAGTCAGTTCTTTTCAATTATCAATGGCCAGGTGAGAATCTAGTAAGAATAGATTGAATATTAATTGTATCCAATAGTTAAATTTCGTATAATAGAATAATGAATTATTAATAAACAGGTACCAAATTAAATATAATACCCCTTCACAATCAGTGAGTGGAGGAAGGTCACACTCTCCGACTATGCTATGCTATGCTAAATTAAATCTAATTAGATTTGTCGATTAATAAATAATTATTCCATTAAATTTGACATATTGATATTACGGATCTCTTTGGTAGAGGTCCTGTAATTAATAAATTCGTTCAAATATTGATAATAACACGTCGGTTGTAACTTGACGATATAATGTTGGTTTTTTGACGTGTTGAACGATAAATGTTTTGGGTGTAATTGTTTGAATGATTCTAAATGGTCCTTCATAACGAATATCAAATTTATAACGGATGTTGAGTGTTTTCATAAGAACTAAATCACCAATATTGTATGATGGATTAGAACGATTTATATCGTATCATTGTTTATATCGTTGTTGATTTTTTATAACATTGAGTTTAGCTTGTTCATTTAATTTTGATAAAAATTGTTGAAGCTTTTTTACATGTTCAGAATCATATGATAAGGTAACATTTGTATCTTGATGATCGAATGGTAGAACAGGTGATCGATCGTACATCATTTCGAATGGTATCTTTTTCAAAATGTGTAAAATTTTCGGCTTCGTCCTTTTTTCCGGCTTCTGAAAATGGTTTTTTTTTCAGATTCAGCATAAAAAATTGAGCATAAACAAGTTGTTAAATCGACTCTCGACCCAAACCTCTATTGGTGGTAGCGCTTCGAATCGCGTCGAGTGCACTACATGTAAGTCGATTTTACAAACCTATCTAGTTTTTCTACCTAAGTGATAAAGCCACATATTTTGTCTCATTCGATTCATCATACCACCCTGCAACACGCCAAGTATTGTTTTTTTCTTTTCTTTCCTAATTTAAAAACTTATTTATATTCAGTTTTTGATGCTAAATCTGAAAAAAAAACCATTTTCAGAAGCTGGAAAAAAGGACGAAGCCGAAAATTTTACACGTTTTGAAAAAGATGTATTTTTTCGAAAACAAATGGCTTCTCTCGAGTATTTCGAATTTTTCGACTGGAAAGAAGCATTTGCTGAGACTAAAAAGTAGTTTTTCGTGATTAGCAGCTCAAGCTCTATCAAATGACGTAAAAAGAAAGGCAACAAAAATTTTTTACTGAAAGTTTGAATTGCCGGCACCCTATAATAAATGATATAAATGGATGAGTTTATACTTTATTTTAGTACTTATTTTCGAAATGATCATTAAATTCTGAAACTACATTTATATTATAAATCGAACTAGACATCTCATTTACTTTTCAGGTTGAGTTGACATACTTTACTTTACTTTGCTCTTTCAAAGTAAAATAAAGATACAGTACTACCCCAATTCTCTCTTTCTCTTTTCTTATCATACTTTCGAATACTTACTTTTAACACGATATCATCTGTTCTCTTCTCTAGCGCTGTCGTCAGCTGGTCGTGTTTATAAAGCGGTAGATTCAGTCGTGACCCATTAATAACATCCGCACAAACTGTTCTGAATTCCTCACGATGGTCGGCGATATTGTTGGAGACATTAATTATTATACTTCTACGACAGATGGATGTCCTCCTTGGTTTATAACACCAGTGGTACCAGCGAAAATGAGATCGAATTTTGTGCAAGTGCCTGTTCATGTTACCATCCAGGACTTACGAGGCAAAGAGAAGAGTGTCAATCTCGACACGAACGGATTCGAAGTGGTTAAATACAATGGCTCTATACAGGAAGAATTTGAAGAAGGCAGCGAAGCACAAAAAATTTATTGTGAAGAAATTAGTGACCTTCTCAAGAAGCGACTAGATGCATCTCGCGTAATTATCTATCACTACTGTTTTCGTTATCGAAGTTCACCATTATCCGATGAGCAGTGTAATGACAATCACAGAAATCCTGTCTTTTACCCTCACGTCGATCTCGATTCTTTTGGAATTGAAGAAGTGGTAGAAGAAGAGCTTGGCAAAGAAGAAGGTGAAAAAGCAAAAACCCGAATGCAAGCAATCAACATCTGGCGCCCATTAGGTCCTAACCCAATTACAGACGATCCATTGGCAATATGCGATTATCGCTCGGTCGATATTGACAGAGATGTTCATCAATTCACATATCGTGGATTGGATAAGCTTTATACAGCCTATACTATGTCTCACAATGATCAAGATGCCCACATATGGTACTATATGAGCCGGATGCGATCTGATGAGATGTTTATCTTTAAAATATTCGATAGCAAACCTGGTGTCGCACAGTTTGCTTTCCATACAGCTTTTAAAAATGGCAATGGACCCACACCGAACAAGGAGCAAAAAAGTCTTGAACTTCGTTGCTTGATTTTATATGATGAATAATAACAATAATAATAAAATATTGTCTTTGATTCATAATATATAATACAGAAAATGTTTAAACTTTTAATCATCGATATAACAAGAATCTTTTTTTCTTTCTCTACAGTTGTACACATGATATGTGGATGAGTGCGTCTATACACATGCTTATGAAACAGAACGAAAAAAAAAGATCAATCAAAGAGAGAGATAGAGAGAATGATACATCCTTGCTGTTTTGGCAGGGAAATCCTTTTTTTTTAGAAGTTTTTGCTGAGGACTTGAGCATACTCATTTCTGGAAATTTCACGCTATATTCAGTTTTTCATGCTCTTTCCAATGATGTAATTTTTATCAACTCTGCACGAGGTCGAAAATTCCGGACTAGTTGATATGTAATCATCCAGTAATTTTTCTCATTTAATTAATATCTTCAATTCTGGTAAGGATATTTGATGTGCTTTTAAAATACACAAAAGAATAAATGACGAATATATTTATTATTTTTTTCTGATCATAATCGTATAATAGAGAAAAATTTTTTTCTACTCATTAAGTTGTAAATTGTTCCAGTCGAGAACATAAATCAATAATCAATTGAATTTGTTTTAATATAGAACATTCATCCATGATCAGACTTTGAACAGTATTAATATTGGAGACTGATCGAAATTATTCACTTTGTCAAATTAATTCATATTCTGCATCTTTGATTTGTATAGAACGAAGCTTTATTATATGTATATTAGGATCAACTGTTTAAAAGGAAAAAAAACTGATACTCATTAGGTAATTTAGTACGTTGTGATACAAGAAAAATACGATTGAAAGTAAAAAAGTCAGACTGCGATAATTGCTATGAATATTTTTGTATTGATGATGAAGTAATCGAAAGCATTTTACATAATTGTGAACTGCTATCCTTAAAAAAGCACCCTGTTAGCATTAATCTATGCTTCCTGTAAAGATTAGTTCAGTCTAACTTCCCATTCATGAAAATACAGTTTTTAAAACAAAGAGAATTAATGTAAAAAGAAATAATGTGTGTTGACAGGCCATCGAATCATTGGATTGGTCACACCATTGATCGGTACTGTATTGAACCTCTTTTTTGTTGCATGGTTCAACTTTGAGATCCTCATATTCCGGGTTCGCAGGTAAAACTGTGGATTCGAATTTGCCCCGTCGGTCGAAAATAACAAGACGCTGAGCTTTATTGTAGAGCTCTTGCCATTGAGCAGCTGACTCAGGTGTGGGTGTGGGTGGGTGTGTGGGTGTGGGTGTAGGTGGGGTGTGGGCGAAGAGGATAACCACACCCACACCCACACCCACACTCGTATACGATGACTATTGCCAGTGTAATCACATAGCATTTCCCTCAATGAAGATGGGAAAAGGCAACTTTATCTTACGCTTCTTCTCGTAAACAAAAAAACTATATATTTAAATAAATAAATTATTGTTTTACTTAGAATTTTTGTAACGACGGACCTAATCGTAAGTATTTGTTTCAAAAATTCAACAGTATATTCTTATAAAAAAATATATTGTTGAATTTTTTTTGAATTTCTACAATTAGATCTATCATTGCGAGAAATCTCAAAAAAAGAAATTATTTATTCAAGGAGGTATTCTCTCTTGAATTTATTGAGATAAATCTAACAATAAAAGATTACTTATTTGTGTATTTGAATAAATCATTTTTTTAATTAATTAATATATTTATTTATTCAAATACTTATTTTGGAACTTGTTGTGAAGATAAATCTCAATAAAAAAATATGGTTTAGTTTTTCAAATAAATTCTTACAATTGAATCTGTCGTTGAGATAACTCTAAATAAAAACATATATAATCTATCATTTTTAATTCATACTTATCAACGGGTTTGATGTTGGAATAAATCTAAATAGAGAAATATACATAAATTAATTTTTCAATAAATACTTACTATTGAACTTGATGTTGAGAGAAATCTAAATAAAAAAATATGATTTATTTTTTTTAATTGATTCTGACAATTGAATTTGATGTCGAATTCAAAAGTAAGTCTTGATCGAGAAGGGCATCTTAAGTCGCGGCTAAGTTAGGATCATTTACGATCGTACTTTTTCATACTGAGCAGATACATGTTTTCATTCAGTGTTTAGAAAATAACATTTAGAGCTTCTTACTCAACAGAAACGTTATAAAAGTTAATCTATTTGACAATTAATACGTATGTTTCTAGTGAGAAAAAAATTGCGAGCTTTTTCAATATTTTATCATAACAAGAGAGATTGAAAATTTTTTAACACACATATTCTGGTAGAGCTTGACAAGCTCTATCTAACCATGTATAAAAATCGAAAAAAAAATATGCTTGATTTTTGAATTACTAGCTCCTTACATATATGATAAATCTTTTCTTCTTCTCCGTTATTTTAGATTATTAACTATCGTGATGGTATTGTCGTATAATATGCACATTCCTATCAGATACAGTTCATTATCTAGTCATGAACTCAGAGTTATTTTCTTAGTTATTTTTTCCTTTTTTTTTGTTTATATTTTTTTTTCTCAGAGAGCCCATGTAAAAAAAATTATTAAAAATCGATTAAAATGAGACGATTTTGATCTGATTTTAATCGGATTTTTCAACCTTAAAAGATAAATTTTATTTGACTTAATCTTTTTTAATCGATTAAAATCTATTAAAAAACTGTAATAATCAATTATAATCGATTTATTTCAATAATCAATTTTGATCGATTAAAAAAAGATTAAGTCAAATAAAATCTGTCTTTTAAGGTTGAAAAATCTTGTTAAAATCAGATTAAAATCGTCTCATTTTAATCGATTTTTAATTTGATTTTTTTTTACATGGGAAGTCTTTTGGTTTTTGTCTTTCAACTATTAGTACCTGTTTCAGTCAGATACATTCAACACAATAAACTCCTCATAGCTCAAGCTTTTTAGTTCTTTATTTCAACTTTTGTTTTGAAAAGTTTTGTAGATAAAATAATGGGAGCTTTCTACCGATTTATTAATTGGTCTGAAAGAAAACAATTATGGTCAATTTTATTATGTCAAATTACACTCGTTACATTTAGTTGGTATTATATTGAAAAAATGCAATCAAACAACGAATGTTCTGAAATGTTAAGACAAGATTATAATTTTATTTCACCATATATCAATGTGCCGGATAATTGTACGTGGTGGACCATTTTTTGGTTTCGAGTAAATCGTTATACAGTTTATACAGTTGTACTCCTTTTTGTTCATGTTTTGAATGAGTATTATATATCGCTATATCATACGATCATGTACGTATATACTTGGGTAGGTTTAATGGTTAATACTGATCGAACTCACCGACAAAATAATATTTTTTATCGTGATGCACCATATTTATTGTGTGTATTATCAATGATTCTATATCTTGAAAAGAAACCTTTTAATGATTTAAAAGCAATCAAACGAAGCCTTGATATTGATATGGTGAACGATGAACGATTATTCGCACTAGAGAAAGCAAATAGTCAATGTTGGAGCGAGACCATTGGTAAAATTAGACAATGTGAGAGTAATGTCAAAATTCAAGAAATCATTCGACAAATGGATGAACAAATAGCAAAGAATCATTTGATATATCAACTTTCAGATAATCCAGTGTTTCCTCGACCAGAGCAGAAGAAAACAACATCTTTTTTAATATGTTTATTTATGGAATATTATTTTTTTTTATGTGCATTGGCTGTTTGGAATTATATACTGTTATTTTACTAAGAATTCTTTCGTCCATTTAATCGAGGAAAGAATACACGCATCTTGTAAATAAGTTTTCCCATTGTTGTTAATTCTTTTGTTTGATCTAGTCATTTTTAATGTTAGCATATCGGCTATTCTCGTGTAAACGTTTTCATGTATAAATAATCATTATATCAAGTAAAATTATCTTGAAAAGGAAAACAATTTCGCTTCTAAAAAGACTGTGCAGAGTTAAAAACTAAATTGTCTTGTGTTTTAACAACTAATGAAGGAACATTCCCAAGTGTCGAAGAACTTGTTGTTTCTTAGAAGATCAAATATTTTTACTGGTGAAACAATAAGAGTCATTTTATTAAAGAGAAATCACTGTCTCATAAGAGAAGTCTACCAACTGTCCAATGGTTTTTCAGTCGAGACCAGGTGCATTATGTAGACCTAAATGAGCTATGAATACTCTGAAAAGAGTTCATGCTCTTAGCTTATTGCTGCAGAGATACTTCACTTTTACAATATTGTTTAAATCAGTGCCGTCATCCTTCCCTCTCAGGAACATCAGAAAAACATTATATATGAACATCAAATCTACTGTTTCATCTGAGTGATGTAAAAGATATACTATTACCGTAGTTGTATCTTAAGGTAGGAACAGCGACATGCCGTAGAAGTGCAATATATCCGTAGCAATAAGCTAAGATCACTAACTCCTGTCAGAGTATTCACAGATCATTTGGATCTACATAATACACATGGTCTTAACTCAAAAGCGATTGGAGAGTTGGTGGACTCCTCTCGTCACTCAACTTGCATTGATTAAGTCAGTGTTTTTTCCTTGATAGGATGACTCTCATAGCTGTAATAGTAAAAAACATTGAATATCATAAGAAATAAGCCATAAACATGAACTCTATTTATATTAAATATAGTTCATTAAGGCCTACAAAATGCATAAATTCCAGGCTGAAAAGCTTTTCGAAACTTGAGAATGTTCCTCATAAGTTTAGCTTGTATGTTTTTTGATATCAATCGAATATTTGTTTCTTTATTTGATTATGAAATCTTATAAGATCAAGGAAGACGAGTTGCAAACTAAATTCAGTCTACTATCCTGATCAATGCTCTAACATTTAAACATTGGTGATATTAATGAACAAGTAACGTTCATCGAAACTTGGCTCACTTGGCCCTAGACTGTCGTGGTCTAGAAACGATACGTGCAGTGAGATGAATTCCCATTTCTAGACTCTATCCTCACAGTCCAGGGAATAAATATTAATTGAATCGACTCGGTCGTAATTTATAAAAAATCATCTTTCGTTGTGTTTCACATTGTTAGCTACAGTTTCTATGACTGGTAGTCAATGAAAAACTTATACGATTAAAATAAACATTAGTAAAACCTTTATAGTTTGATTGGTTATTAGTAGATAAGAACAGTTCCACTACTCTTTGTTCTTATTCTATCATATAATGATTAATATACATCAGCTTAAAACTACATCTATGCATAAATATATGTTTATTTATTTAAAATTACATGCTTTTCGCGAATCTAACACATGTTTAACATATATTTATTTCAATCATTGTTGGTTAATAAACTAGAAACAACATAAATTCAAGCTTATATTTTCAAACAACTAACATTCATTAGTACTATCTTTTTTAAATCGTATTTGTTTTTATACTATCTCTATTCATATTGCGAGATTAGTCTAATATTTATCATAGTCACTTTAAATAATTTACTCATTAAAATAACTAAAAATAAACACTCAGACATTACATCAGTAGATATACAATGTATGATTTATCGTACAGCAACTGACAATATTAAGAAGATCAAAGTATTGGCAAACATGTTGGTACTTCAGATTCGCCGACATTTCAATACCATCAAAACAATATCATTCATTTCAGAATATAAAACCGTCTGATATTTATTTTCAGATAATTTCTTTTCTGATTCGTTTATTATCATTATATAATTTCATTCTGAATCTGCATTATTTAAGAGGTTGAATTTTGATAAATGTATGCATTCACATAAACTAGTTCGTCAACATGAAACAGTGATTCAAAATGTTTAATGCGACACTAGGTATCTCTATAATTACACGTTAAAATTGATTTTGAACTGTTTTATTTATATGCACCATAACAAGACAATTAAACTGACAAAATTAATAAAAAATATTTTACAATAATACAACTGCTAAAATTTTAAAACTATCAAATTACAAATGCATACTTTTCGAAACTTCTAATCCTTGGCATTGCTTTTCTGAATTGTCGTACAAGTCGTTTGGGCATACCGTTGTTCTTTTCATACGTGTATTAATAATATTTGTGATGATGAAGAATGACATGCTACATAATATAGATCAACATTTCCTTTGAAGTCTTAATAAGATTCTGTGTATACGAACGTTTCGTTTTTTTGTTGTTAATACTATTTTCATCTTCCTCCATATCAAGAGTAAAATTGGCGTTACATTATGATTTATATTTATTCAATAAAATAACAATATAGATATTATTAGGAAATATTGCAAATAATTAACTTAGCGCCATTTTTGACACAAATAAATAAATATTATATTATTTAAATAATACGATATTAGCTAATAAAACTCATTTTATCGAAAATATTCTGTACCCATGAATAAGTATACAAACCAAAATTGATGCATAGATAAGTAATTGATCCATTGTAAAATAAATACCTTCATAAAAATACTTATCAAACCTTGAAAAATTTTACTTGTTTTTTAGTTCAAATACTATTATCTATGTGTCATTTTTAAAGTATTTATTTATGCAGTATCAAAATACTCAGCAGTATCAGAGCCATATGTTCATTTTTACCGTAGTTACCTCTTGATTGATGCCGTAGTTATATTATCGTTTTTTTCTACTATAGTTACCTGATCATTCGTACCATAGTTACGTGGTCATTTTTTACCAAAAAAACGTCGTTTGTACCAAAAAATGGCCATTTGAGCCAAAAAGCTAGTCGTTTGTGCGAAAAAAATGGTCGTTTGTGCCATGTTACCGACAAAAACGATACGTGCAGTGAGATGAATTCCCGTTTCTAGACCCTAGCCTTGCAGTCTAGGGAACATTCTGTAACAGGCAGATCAAAAAGAGAATCCACGTGAGAAGCGAGATTCAGACATCCTCAATAGTAAGGAATATTCTTTCATCTTAAGCAGACAAGCTTTTGTTATTGTATTCTAATTGATTGTTTCAAATGTACTCATTTATATTGTTTTCATTAGTTGAGCGTATGGACTGCTTTACATGTGCATGTTTCTGCATGCAACATTAAATTACATGTTCATGCGCAACTTTTCATGTGTGTCAAAGCGAACGTGGTTGACTCTGCGACGCATTCACAAGCATGTCATATAGAAGTAGAACACGTATGTACACGCATTTTTTAAGCTTCTGCGTTTGACTGGATAGCGACTTATCAAGATAAATGAAGCCGTTAACTGGAATGATAAAACTGCAGTAAGTTGCTGATATATTGGAGGTTTTTTTATCATAAAGAAAACTAACAGCGTTTTCTTCTCAAATAAAGTTAAAAAGTTTAAGGAAGTATTTTTAGAAAAATCCTTCTAGAATAAAATACACATCTTTTCTATAGTCATATTTTCGGGATGTAACATACTCATTTACGTAGTCTATTACATTGAATACAAGGTAGTTTCTCTAAATTTTAAGTTATTTTGATGAATTAGAACTTCAAACGAAAGAACTCAATGCTCAATCAAAGGTCAAGAACTTGCTCCAATTCCTAAACTTGAAAAAGAATTTTTCCTTGATATACAAAACGTTTGCAGAATTATTTCTCTACTAATATCATCTTATTGGAATTTCGTTTACGAATTTTTGCCTGCCACTATTTTTCTTTTGCAAAAATGATCAAAAATAAATTCTTCTGTATTGTTAATGATGCAAAAAGTAAGAATAATCTTATTTTAGTCTTTTTCTCTTTATTACTGAAGATGGATTTCGTGTTAAGCAAGTGTGTATACAAGAAGTACTATTTTAGTCGCTCGTTGTATTGCCACGTGTAACACTTATCTTGTATTGTAGCAATAAAATTCCAATGTTGACATTTATAACCATATCTTTACTCGTCTATTTGTCATCTTATGTTGCAAAATTTTCGCTTATCTTTTTTTCTCTTTGCTTTTATCTCGAAAGCTGAAACGAAGTGGAGAGAAAGAAAACGTAAAGAAGGTCTTGCATATATTCAAGAAGAATAAATATTCTCATGAACTATCAATTATATATACTCAAAATTTTCGAATCAAGGTCAGATAGAAACATATGATATATTTATGAGTACTTTTACAAATCTACTTTTTCATTAGATTTTTCGCAGTACACTTCTTTCAATTATATATATAAGAAAAAAATTGCATAACTACGATGAAAGTTGATGACATATTGTCAATAAACACATTGATATAAAGAATGGCAAATTTAAAAAGAAATTCACTTTTATGACATATACTATTCGAAAACAAGCAACATATATGGCTAGCAAAGTTCACTCGTCGTTTTTGGCATTACCTGTCGAGATTGTCTATCGTATTCTAGACAATCTCGAACCAAAAACAATTTTACTTTCACTTCGGAATGTGTGTGAACGGTTAAATAAGATTATTGATACATATCCTCGATATCAGGTAAATTTCACTTTTATCTTACAGTCAGATTTTTATCGTGCCAAAATATCACTCAGTTCAATCAATGATTTTTTTCAATTATTTTAGCTATTGATTTTGGAATAATAAAAACTGCAGGCTAATATTTTGATGTAGATGAATATTATCTAAAAGAAAATAATCATTACGTTATTCAAGCTATTTTCAAGGATTTCATTGAGTTTCTGGTTTCTTTTCTTTAATATTTCACCAAATACAAAACAAAGTTAATAGAATTTTGCATCGCAGTTTTGTTTTTCTCCACTAGTTATAGAAAGGATTTCATCAGATGAATTGAATTGAAAGTCATAGGAGAGGACTAGTTGATTTTCATGAATTATATCCTTCTGAAATTTCTGTAACTTAAGAATTCATTGAAGAAACGAAATCATCAAAGCTAACGAAACATAGTTCTAAGAAGTCCCAGGTCCTAGAAAATTGTAACGGCTATCAGAAATTGAGAAACTTTAAAAACGCTTTGAATTCATTATAGTTGTAGAATCGTTCAAAGAATGCCAGTAGAGCTTTATAGTCAAAAGAACTGAATAAGAAATGTTTGGGGCGCATTTTTACTCTGACATTTATGGTAATCTCTAGATCAAGTGAATGAAATGTTACTTTTTTTTGGGAAATCGATGTTTTTTGAAAGAAGGCTTATCTAAGAGAAGATGAATGATTTATTTGATTCATGGAACAATCGGTTGATACCAAGAACTTCTTGAGTTCATAATTCTTTTCATATAACTAGCAATTTCCTAGCTAAAGCGAATACAGACATTAAACAATAGTGAATAGGACATTTTGTACGAGATTTCAGATGACTTAATCAATCTCTCCACTACCTGTGTACGTACGTATTTTTATCGAACAGCGTTTAGTTTTAATTTGGTGTTTACATGGATGATTGCACTTCTTTGTTTGAAAACATCCACTCAGTTCCAGTTGATCACTAACCTTTCTTGAAAAATTAATAGTCTCTGGTTCATTGAAGAGAACGACTTACCTAGAACGACAGAGTAAAATAAAATTTGAATGTATCCGTATCAGAGACCGAAAATAACGAGAAAAATTTCAATCGGATTTGATTCGACTCATCCTGTCACAAAAAAAACGGATTAGTATAATCGCATATGTTACTTACTATTGATAGTGCTGTGAAAAATCATAGAATCACCTACTAATTTTGACTTCTTTTGAATTTTTTTTGCTGACTGATACTCTTTTTTCGTTTCAAACTCATTACCAATACATCGATTCACAGTCGCTCTTTCAGTTTTTATTGCAAGAAATACTGAGAAGTCAAAGTTGGTAGGTAATTCTATAAGTTTTCACAGTACTGTATGTTTTAATTCTCTTCTCTGTATAATCTATTTATTTTTCTCTTGTCCCACTCTAGTCACTTTTTCTGTATTTCATCACTTCATAAATGTTCAAAGATCATTTTTTTTCCTTAATAAAACTACAACAGAAACTAGATTGTATGGAATATAATGATTCATAAAAGTTCTATATTTGTAGACTCGACAACAAGGATTTAATTGATATTTGAAACATCAGAATTTCAACCATGAAGTACATCTATCTAAATTGAACGAGTGAAAACCGATCGCTACTAAAATTAGCTGAAAAACTTTATCATAAAGTGTAACAGTTTCTTTCAATCACAAAAAAATTTTATTTGAAAGAGTACATTAAAAAAATCTGAAAGAAATAATAAATAGGAATTACTTAAGATTCTCGAGATTAATTATTAACAATAGACATTGTTTCTCTAATGTCACTAGAGCATTATAAATTGTAATGTCGTTGTAAATTATCAAAGCTAATCGCTCCAAAATATTGTTATGAGACTAAATAAACAGTTATCAAAAAAGTTTTGAACCTATTCAAGAATATTTAAATAATAGTATATGTCTGCATCATTTTATTACACATTGGCAACGAGCAATTGCTTCTATAAAGAGTACGAGCAGGCATCATGGTGACTTCTCAATTGCTATTCTTTTCTTTTTTATTTTATTTATATAATAAGCGTCAAAATCAGGCCACTTTCTGATGACTCAGCGTGACTCAGCTTAGAATGATACCACTAAAAGTGAATTGCTTTTATGGAAAAGATTTCTAAACAATCTACCCCTACAGTCACTCCAGTCATTGAATAAGAATATTCTAAAAAATTTATTATCATAGTGATCATGATTTAAATAAGGTTGAATGATTTCAATGCTGGAAAAACAACATGAGAGAAAAGTTTAACTATTTATTGAACGTAAAAAAACCAAGATGTATTCCTGGATATTCTAATGTTTTGAAGACTATCATTTATTAATATAAATTTTCATGAGTTAAATGTCTGCTGAACAATATGCAAGAGTTACATTGGTTACTAATTTTAGTTACACTGTTAATTTTAATACATATTTATTTCGGTTCTACTTCAGTAAAACCTATGCCACTTCATGCAGTTGATAGTGCATATGATCTTGTGTGTATATGAGAAATATCGTTAAATTTAATAAATACTCTGATTTTATTTGTTAGCTAAATGAAACTTCCAAAACATTCGTACAATAAAGATTTCTGATTATTATCAGTTGCGGGCACAATTACTCATGTAAAATTTTTTTTTACGAGAAATCGGAAGTAAAACCGATTATTTTTTGAATGAAAATCGATTAAAATGGTGCTACTTATTTCTGATTGCAACCAGAGTCTTTTCGCTTGAAAGATAGATTCACATTGACTTTAGTCCTTTCTGAACAATTAATAAAGTTCTATCGATTGAAACTGATCTTTTTTCAAAATTGGTTACCCAGGTCCAAAAATCCGACGACGGATCCGATCGGACCCGAAAACCGACAAAAATCCGATCGGAATCCGGGTTACAGAATTCCGATCGGATCCGACAATCGGATACGCATACGTTTCCGATAATTTCCGATTGTCGAAATCCCCATTTATTCCGACGGTCGGATACCGATCGGATTTCGATAGGATTATATCAATCTTTCAACCGTGGTCCAAAAAATCCGACAAAAATCCGATCGGAATCCGGCTTGCAGAATTTCGATCGGATCCGACAATCGCATACTCATACGCTTCCGATCACTTCCGATTGTTGAAATCCCCATTTATTCCGACGGTCGGATTTCTATAGGATTCCATCAATCTTTGAATCTGTGGTCGATTTTATTTATTATGATAATGTTTGGAATCTAAATTTTACCTTGTGTGAGCCGGAAAGTTTCATGATTTATAGCCACTGAAACGTAGTGTGTTTAATATAGGTTTTGGATTAAGGTGCAGCAGAATAGTTCTTTTTTCTAGTATATAATGCCTTGCTCAAGGAGCTTATAAAATGCGGCTACCCGCGAGAAAGCTTGTTGACCTGATAACAACAAACTGTCTATTTTCAACATGAGCACACAGGTTTCTATGAAGTACGAACTAAAAGAAGTGCTGAAGTACAGAAGTAGTAAGTTCGATTCTATGTTTCTGCCCAATTGACCAAAATATACACTAAAACAACATGTCGTTATCCGTTGTGACAAAAATCGTTTCAAACGTAGAATCTTTTCAGTATATTCATAAATTCATAAAACAGAACATTTTTAGTTTCGAAACTGTTTAAAAAGGTCTGAATATGATATTGAATTCAGTTAAATTATTTCATTTCTCGAAATGGCAACAAATGTATACCTAGATATCTCCATTCGAGCTTAGCACTAATATAAGTTACTATCCTATTGGATCACATCGGATTTTGAAAATTCAGTTCTGGAAATGAGCAAATATGCCTACCTTCATATCTCGCTTGGAGCTTATCATTAATATAAGTTTCTACCATTTGGATCCGATGGGGATTTTGAAAACTGAGTTCTGGAAATGGCAAAAATGTACATCTACGTATCTCCATTCGAGCTTAGCACTGCTATATGCTTCTATCCTATAGAATCCGATCGGATTTTGAAAATTGAGTTTTCGAAATGCCGAAAAATCCAAACTTCCATATCACCATTGGACTTTATCTTTGATATAGGTTTCTACCCTATAGGATCCGATCGGACTTTGAAAATTCAGATCTGGAAATGGCCAAAAAGGCGTACCTATATATTTCAATTGGAGCTTACCATTCATATAAGTTTCTACCCTATAGGATCCGATCAGATTTTGAAAATTAAGTTCTCGAAGTGATCAAAAAGCCATACCTACATATAACTATTAAAGCTAAGCATTCATACAAGTATCTATCCTATAGGATCCTATCGGATTTTGAAAATTGAGTCCTGGAAGTGATGAAAAAGGCATATCCACATATCTCCATTGGAGCTTACCATTGATATAAGCTTCTATCCTATAGGATCCGATAGGATTTTGAAAATTAAGTCTGGAAGTGGTCAAAAGGCATACCTAATATAACTATTAAAGCTAAGCATTGATGTAAGTATGTATCCTATAGGATCCGATCGGATTTTGAAAATTGAGTTCTGGAAGTGATGAAAAAGGCATACCCATATATTTCCATTGGAGCTTACCATTCATATAAGCTTGTATCCTATAGTATCCGATCGGATTTTGAAAATTCAGTTCTGGAACTAGCTAAAAAGGCATACCTATCTATCTGTATTCCAGCTTGCCATTCATATAAGTTTCTATCCTATAGGATCCACTCGGATTTTGAAAATTGAGTTTTCGAAATGCCGAAAAATCCAAACTTCCATATCACCATTGGACTTTATCATTGATATAGGTTTCTACCCTATAGGATCTCATCGGATTTTGAAAATGCCCAAAAAGGCGTACCTATATATTTCAATTGAAGCTTAGCATTAATGTAAGTTTCTATCCTATAGGATCCGATCGGACCCTGAGAACTGAGTTCTGAAATGGCCCAAAAGCCATACCTACATACTTCTCTTCAAGGTTAGCATTCATATAAGTTTCTATCCTATAGGATCCGATCGGATTTTGAAAATTGAGTTTTCGAAATGCCAAAAAATCCAAACTTATATATCACCATTGGAATTTACCATTGATATAACTTTCTATCCTATAGGATCCTATCGGATTTTGAAAATTGAGTTCTG